AATAATTTAGTTTTAATTCGAAAATTCAACTTTTTCCTGTCTCAAATAATTGTTTGGTAGGAAAGAAATATCACAATACCACATCTTAAAATGAACACATACCCTTGCTTTCCGACGCGAATGTTCCAGTTCGCTTGAGGGCACAGCAGCGAGCAAAGTATAGCTCACTACAGCTATATAATATTAACGTCAAACGCGTGCAAGCCACAAAAGTTAAACGCATAGTAACACAAACAAAAGTGGAACGTACACTGCATGCGAATGAAAACAAAACGGACACCTCAAATAAAATCAAACAACACACACAAACAATATTGAACGGACGCAGCAAATAAAAGTGGCAAGTGAAATTAACTATGCGAGGAGGCCTGGCGCCTAGTAGTGAGGTCTCGGTCAAATCTCTTTCCAGCCTCGCCCCCAGGCTCTCTCTCCTCTGCCTCCCGCTTGTCGTTGCGAGAAAGACCTTGGTTGCGGCTGGTCACCTAAGGGGTGGCAGAGGAGAGAGAGCCTGGGAACGAAGTTGGTCTCTCTCTGGCAAATTTGTAGAAAAGGCTATCCTTAGGACTCAGAGTAATAAATTTGTCACTCACTCAAATATAAACTAATTGATATGGCAAGGGCAGACCGATTGATATATCCACTTTCCGAATGATCTTCCCTTAGCACTAACTTGACTTTGCACATGACAAACTGCACGGGTAATTTGAAAATGTGAGTCGAAAGTCTCGATTTTCCGTGGAGATTGTTTATTTCTGATATATTTCAGTGGCTCAATAGTTTTCGATGTGCAGCGCGTAAATATTCGGCTTAGTCTGCAGATAAACATGCGACGAGCTTGCCCGCAGGCTGACCACGAGTACTGTAGTGGCGGATCTAAACCTTGCGCAAAGAGGGATCCAGACCTTGAGCTAACGGTGGGGGGAGGCCGTTTTTTTTGCTTGCCCTGCCGGCTTTTCTCCCTTCTGTGATTTTTCCTTGTTTTACCCAAAATATGGAGGGGGACCACTCCCCTAGATCCACCAAGGACTTGTTAGTAATTTATTTTTACTAAGATTTGATGAGCACTTAACTTTGAACGATTTCATTTGTCTTAAGATTTATTTTGGTGATCCCGAATGACACTTTAAAAAGTGCTTTGAAATTTAGCAACTAGTTAAATATCACAAGTTCTCTAAAAAATACACTGTGGCCCCAGAGAAAAAAAATAGTAACAAAAATAATAGTAACTCACTCCAACGCATCTGTAAAAGACGTTCCAACTAGTTTCAACTTTATCCTAGAGTTGATTGACAAAATCAATTCAAACGTAATGTATCCACGACTTATTCTCAGTCTCTTTTGATTTTCTTTGGGATTATTCAGTATTTTCTACGCCTCGCCTATCCACGACTAAAACCGCCAAAAATTTGACCGGGAGCGACTTGACTGGGGCCTAAGTACTAGGTCTCAGAACTCTTTTCACAAATGCGTGTGCATAGTTAATTTCACTTTCATTTGGGGCTTGCGTTCAACTTAAGTTAGCAGTGTGCTATTTGATTTTATTTGAAGAGAGCGTTTTGCTTTCATCTGCAGTGTGAGTTCCATGCCACTTTTGTTTGAAGTGTGTTGGTTGATTTTATTACAGGAGTGCATTTTGCTTTTATTTGCGTTGTGCGTTCAACGGTTTTGTGGCTTGCATGCGATTGTTGACTATATTCGCTCTTTCACTGGCAGTGATGCTATGATTTCACTCGTAGTGTGCTTGGTTTAGTTTGCAGTGAGATTTTTGTAGTTTCTGTTATTTTTGGCTCCTAGAGTTGTCCTTAATGGGTTACCGTACTTTCCACGAAAAGCAACGCTCGATTCACGTTTGACAGCGGCGTGACGTCCCTAAGCCAACCATAATTCATTGCTATGCATGAAATCAATGAATTGGCTCCATGTTGTATAGACAATAGATTACGTCAAATTGCTATAATTTTCGTCTTTGTAAAACTGGGCAAAGGCCCCACTTTTGAGTTATACTGAAAGATTTTGAAATAAACAAGCTTTTTTACACCAGTAGTTTTTATTTCTTTATTGTAGAAAACAACTAGAATTTATATTGCTGAGCTTCTGTTCAGTAAAAGATCACAGAAGACGTCAAAATGTGGTAAGAACGAAAACGTGGCCCACGAGACGATAGCCTAGTGTGTCACTAATGTCCTTGCCACATTTTGACGTCTTTTGTGATCTATTTCTGAACAAAAGCAGGGAAATCTGAAACATTTTCGTGCAAGTAGTGCACTGTAGTGATATAATTATATTTATGTCATTTGCCGGTCACTGGGTTTAAGAAAAGCAGTAATTAGGCTAGCCATGGTAGCTTGGATTGAGCCATCCTTCGCGGCGATCATTACATTTTGTTCTCGTGCAAGAAACGTTACTCTCACGATGCCCCTCTCAACTCGGGTGTATCTACCGCTGAATTTAATGCTGGCGGTAACCCTACGATGGAATAGCATTCCATCTATGCTACAGAAACCAGGATATATCCCGGCAGCATGGACCATATGGCCTGATGCAGACTTAACCAAGGACCCAGCCGTTTGAACTTTAAGCATTCTTGTGGTAATTATATATGGTGAGCTTTATATTATTGATGAAAAATTTACGCATTATAATATTGTACTCCAAAATTACAGGTCCTCGCATAGGCTACTTTGAAAATATACCTAATAATACACATGAAAATGTAAATTACCAATAACATTTGAGTACATAGTATTTAGAACACGACATGTACCACTGGCGTGTATTGGTAGGTGTAGCGTAGTCTATATGCATCGTAATTTACAATTATTTAAAATATCATGTTGGCGGAGCTCCGGCGGCCCTAAGGGCCGCCAAGCGGAGCCCCATACCCATATAGGACAGAAAAGGAAACCCTTGAATTGATTTTCTCATGGTTATCATGGCTAGCGGTATTGCTCGCGGGCGCGTACGCGCGACGGCGACGACGACGACGACGGAGTCACGCAACATGGCGGCCATATTCCTAATGATAGGTTGACAGAGACATGCAGTCTTGGTTTACCGTATAGTTCTTTGATATCAGACATCCATGTTATGATTAATTGACACCTGTCAAAACAAGGTATCCGCTGACCGTATCGCGCGCTCAAGTTTACAGCTCATCGAGGTTACGTGTTCTTATGAAGTTGACCGCTTACTAAGTGTTGGTTTTCGATTGGATCACGGGCTCATGTCAGGTTAACCTGTTGAAAGCAGGGCAGGGTTTTTCGGAAGCCGGTTAACGCCAACCCAGGATTAAATGTTTACCGAATTATAACTTTTTCTTCCATACAATTTTTTTTCTGCTTTGTTTTGTGTATATGGTGACTATCAAAACTGAAAACAGAAGGCCAAACAATATACAGAAAACCTCACCGCAAAGTTGCAAAACTCAAACCAAACTTCTACCTTTTCCTGGGCTAGCTTAATCGGGTTCTGAACAACCCGGCCCAGGAGCCACGCTTTCAGGCTGGTTTAAATCTATATATTACTACTATAATAGGTATTGCTATACACATGTAAATAGTATTTCGACTGCCATGGCAAAATATTGTATAGAGCGTTTTCATTGTCACGCAATAAAAAATAAAATCAAAAACCATTCAGTGGATAAGGTCGAGAAACTGTGATATTACAGAAGATAAATAAAGAAGACAGTTCTCCAAGTTTAAGGTGTACGCGTTGCCCCAAAGTTGAGATATTCGTCGAAGTATTCCGCGCAAATTTACAGAGCCTAGTATGGAGCCGCCATGTTGGTGTCCCTCTGTGGTACACCAATATGGCGGCCGGAAAATAGTGTTTACATCTGGAACTTACTTTGGTTATCCGGGACAATGATTATCTGCACTCAACAAATAAACATTTAAAATACGGCAACGTCTTAAATGGCTAAAAATCACGATAAATACATACTTTTCGACAAACTTTATGTCACGCACCGCCACAACTTCGAAATTCAAAATGCGCTGGTTTCCAAACAAAGGGTGCTTTTGAGCTAGAAAATTGTAAACAAATATAACTTTAGTACCTCTTATGCCTGACGAGGACAAAAACTATGGTGGTTCTTTAGTTTTGGATTTAAGAATTTGATGATGTCCCGTGAAAACGCTCTATACAGAAAACGTGTTTGTACAGGGAAATAGAGTCCTTTTTTCCTTTTTCAATGCAATACTAAGTCTATGACAATTCCACAACAAATATTGCCTGAATTTCTTGATTGGTTTGTAAACGAAATTGAAAGCACTCTAAGCATAAATATCGCTTGACAGCATTCATACCTACATAAAGAGTTAATGATGGATTTTGAATAGTGTACTGGAAGTGCCCGGCTGATAATCAAAACTTTCAAGTTTACGCTCTAGAAGCTGTATGCTTTTCCTCACATTACTGTAGTGTCTGTTAAAAGTCATCTTTGTATAAGGAATTAACCACTGCCCTTTGCTCACAATAAAGCCTGAGCTGACGACTGGGTTTTAAACGCGCTCTTGTTTAAAAAGAAATCTCAAGGTGCATAATTGTTGAATAGAAATACGAGTGAAAGTCCGAGAGAACTTGCCAAGAAATGCCGTTGAAACACTGTTGGGTGTTGTTTCCGCAACTTTTTCTCGTTCTCCCAAAACGTCCACGAGTGCAACTATAGCTTGATGGCAAACACGGCGACAAAAATGAAAGTAACAATACTTAATTTCTTACTGGTGATATTCCAAAGGAACATGTTTGTTCGCTGAGGCACATAGCTGTTTTGTGCGCGTATATTTTTGCCAACATGCAGTTTGATCATGTTGATTGAACCGTTAGAGGATTTTGAGTACTTACGAGTCGAAATATAAAGATTAAATAACGTGGTTTAAAATTGTTTGTGCAGAAACGTTCCTCCTTTTTACGCGGTCGTGATATTTTGCAGTAGTAAACCATTATGAAACCATTCGTGGCATGATTAGTCCAGTCATCAGTTTGAGTTTGTCACCTTAAAGGGTTAAATATTAACAAAACAGCCGTAGAGTTCCATCCTCAAAGAAATGTGATTTTTCCACCCTGTGGGTATCAGCCTCACATATCGTGCTTTGATTGGTGGATTCAAAGGATGTTTCACCACGGTTTCAGAATCACTGTTTCCAACAAACTCCTAAAATGTATTGAATGGAAATTCAATATGTAAACCAGGTAAGATATCACGTACATTACTTGTAAAAAATATCGGACACCCATGATCACATTTCGGAAAAATTTTGGACAAAAATTTCGGGCAGCACTGAACATAGCTAGCTTAAAAAAAACGCGAATCAGACTTAAACAACTTTAACGTCTGTGAAAATGTTAGTTTTTCTGCACCCTCAAGATTTTTCAGATACACCAACGAGAGAACAACACAAATTTGATCAAGCCATTACGTTATGTCAAGCAGTGTTTCAAGTAGAGTTCGCTCCACAAGAGAAACAACAAGCATTTAATGGCTGGCCCCAAGGAAAACAGTGAATTTTTTCCCCGAAAATTTGAGAGTTGAGGGAAAGTAATCTTGTAACAATTAACAAATGGTAAACGCCATAGCGTTCAATATTGAGTCATGGATGCATGTGGGAGGATGCTAAGGCCAAGTTCAAACACCGTGCTTCACATGAGCCGAATCGAATGCTAATGAGGGAGAACAAAGGATTTTCTCATTTGCATTCGATTCGGCTCGTGTGAAGTGTGGCGTCTGACCTTGGCCTAAGCACGAAAGAGGCGTAAGAGTCGCATAATTTTTGCTTTGTGCTCGTTTGCCTGTGCATTCCTCTGCAGTTTTTCTCGATTTTAGGGAGTCAAAACACAACAGCAATGGCGACGAGTACAGTTGAAGTGAATGTGCTTAATAACTCTTTGTAAATTCTAACGAGATTCGAAAGCTGAATATAAAGTCGTTTTTTAATCGACGTTGTCCTTCGCGATGTTGTCGTTGTTGTTTGAACTCCCTTCTGTTGTGCAGGCGGGAAGCGTCTGTCTGCACTTTCGACCATCTGTTTTTTTAAAACGTGCCTTCAAAGTAGAGCTATTTTCGTGTTTGGTTCAAAACTCGATTTAACGGGTAGAAAATCTTCTTTTAACCATTGAAGGAAAAACATTGAATTATAATTACAACATGGCTCAACAAACTGCTATAATAGATCTATAGTTGAAAAAACGAATTGGGACTTTTGAGCGAATATTTATTTTTTTTGAGCGCCGGCAATATGTGTTATTTTGCCAGTTTCGGCAGGCATGCAACTTGTGTCGAGCGAGCCGAGCTTCAATTAATCCTACAAAAGTTTAATTAGAATTTTTAATCAAATAAAACTCATTTTAGTGATTGACTAGGCAACGGCTTCGAAATTCCAGCTTATGAGAAAAATCAAATTTTCAAAGTGAAATCAGTGGTCGGTCTTTACAGAGACAGCCTCTTGAGAGGGATCACCTTGGGTATAATGCCTATAAGAGGGATTTCTTCTTATCTTGATCTTCTCTTGGCTCCTGCTATATTAATTTGATGTTTACAGTCCGGTGTCTCGAGCGGCATGGCGGTTCGCCCATGGCAAAGGTTCTTTTCTTGATTAACTTGGGGACTTTATCTGAAATTGACTTTAATGCCGTTATTTCTACAAATTCAGAATTGCTTAGCCTTTTTGTGTTGATTTTGATCAGTTAAGTTTAAGCCATTTTTGTGGGTTTATCTGACGTTTGCGGGAAGAAATATTGAGAAACCCAAGATGGCGGATCCAAGATAGATAAAGACGGTCTCACGCAAATGTCTATCAATCTTTCAGCTTAATTCGTACATGGCTTTTCATTTGCTTTGGGCAAATAAATAAATAAGTAAATAAATAAAACTCCATCCAACCTTGTCTACGATCTCTCCTTGTTGCCTGAAAACCTGGAATGAGTTTCCATCGTTTCCATACAGCAACTTGTACTTGGTCACCCATTGGTTGACTTGATTTCTTCCTTGGGTCGCCACACAAGTAACATCTGTCTCAATACCAAGATCGATTTGAAACCACTGGTTCAGATTTTTTGCTTTTGATGACCATGCTCCTTTGTAATTTCCGTTAAGCTTGAAGTGAAGTCTCCCTTGGTTTGGAGAATGATAACTATTATACTGACTAGAGGCTGAAATCTGTGCAGCTGTAATTTTGTAATTTTCCATTCCCAAAGCCACTGAACACTCTAAATTATAATATGAAAGAAAGTAATTTAGAATTATTTCACCAAAATAATAGATAAATAGATCTAAAAGCTATGTGCTTTTAACCTTCGAGTGTACAAAGGAAGGGGGTAAGGTGGAAGTGGGGTGGGGATGGGCGTGCAAGACACCCCCGGAAGTTTCCTCAGATTTTTACGAAAACAATTATTCTGTGGTGCCTGCAGTGTATCAGCTCTTTCTTTAAGTCATTTGACATCATCATGGCAACCTTATTTTGATATGTAGGTCAAGCCAAATTCGGTCAGAAGTCGTCGTTTCTTGTCTTGCGAGCAACATTGCAGAATTATTACTTTTTTACATCCCGCCATAATTTTGTATAAATGGTCTATTAAGGGCAAAACAATTTTAATAGGTTTTATCACAACGAAAACCCAGGCGAGGGATGCCATCCACCTACAGCAACTGCAGCTCTGCTATCTCAAAATTTTAACTAGTTTTTACTTAAATTTAAATAAAGGCATTATGAATCCTCTGCAGAATTTGCTTGAACTCGTAGCTTTATTTCACCTGGCGACGGATAGTGGAAAATGAGTCACCTGGATCGGAGTAAGTGAGCAGATCAATTATTTGTAAAGGCTGAGGCAAATAATTGAGCTGCGAGACACTGACAAATTACGACATTTCACGAAAACGGAGTTCAATGAGAATTTTATCATTTGATCACCAAGTTTGTTTTCATATTTAAAATCACTCTCTGGCAGCTCACGAAACCGATCTGCCATTTTTCACACAACAGCGTGGTAACAATTTCGTATGAGCAGAATATTATTTGCAGTTAAACACATTTGGACGTTGTTACGCACGAGCAGACCATTAGTCGTGGGCAGTTATTTGCATGTCACGTTGTGGGTTCTCGGCCAATGAAAAGAAAGGAAAATGCATCGAATGATAATTTGACTTATTATATAAACAGTGTTATACATGCAGTAAGCCAAATTATTATTTTAAATAAGCGCAAACAACTATGTTAATTTGCGCAACAAACTGATGCTAAATAAACAATTCATAGAATAGTGCAAAAGAAAACAATTTTCTTCGTCGAATGTGTCAAATTTTTCAATTCTAAAATAAAGCAAAGCTGACAGTTTGATTAAAAATAAAGGGATAATGGACAAGGCAGTTTATATCTCATAAATAACAAAAATGACGTTATATCTTATTCACCTGTCATGCAATGATAACCCGTATATCCCGGCGCGCAGGCACAATGATATTTATCCTCTTCGTAATTTGGAATGCAATTGCCACCGTTTCTACACGGACTACTCGAGCATGGTGTCTATGATCAAAAGAAAAATTAACCAAGTGGATAACCACGATATCATATAACACTAACGCTACAAGCTAAAAAAGGGAAGAGATCAAACTATAAAAAATGTTTAAAATATAAAAAAAAGATATATTAATTTCTAGCGCCCTAACATGATTAAGTACATTATTTTATGGCCCGAGACCGTTCGTTTTCATAACTTTTGAACACTATTGAATTTTATTAATATTAATAGCAACGTTGTCATTTCCAAATTTAAGTAAATAAGGTTACCGAGTCGTGGATCAATTATTTTTACCAAATATAAGATCTTTCAAACGTGCTCTTGTTCTTCGTTCAGCCATACCCGTTAACAATGACTTGCTTTTCACAAATATTGCATCATTTATAATCAACTAAATATGTTTCGTTCTGTAAGGTTATGACACAATTTAATTTGACACAGTTTCATTAAAACAAGCGCCCGCATGTTTGACCCGACAGACTACTGTACTGTAAGATGAATATATTTTCGTGATTAAATCTCATGATTCTCCCCTATTCCTTTCAATGAAAAAATATACCTCAGCACAAACTGCTGTTAAATCAAAGCTGTACTAATTAATGAGTATTATTTCAAGCCACATACCTTTATGCTGTAATGGTGAAACTGCTGCGAAACGGTCAGGTTGTCTTGACTTCTGAACATGTCTTCACTTAGCAGTTCACAGCGAAACTTTCCATTTTCGTCTGGCAACAGAGCGATGTTGAACGAAACGCAGGAGGGATTATTAACACAAATGAAAGCGCATTCATTCGCCTGAACCGCTTCACAAGAAGAGTCTAAGAGGGATCCTTGAAGATGCTGAAACTTGTGAACTACAAAATTTGCGTACGACACTCCCTGTTGAGAAGCAGATCGCTTTAAACCATGATCACCTCGAAGCGAATGTTGATGCTGGCCAGTTACACTCGAAAAACGGAGCAGAACAACCGTAAATAGGAAATAAAACATTTTATCCAGCTGACATATGGTTTTAGCTCGAGAAATCTCTTTGAATTGAATAAGAATTTAAACGGATGTTGTAAATTAAACAGGTTTATGTTATTAACGTCCGGGGGTTTCTTATCGGTCGAACTGTCAATTACATAATATATTACAGCTTTGCAAAAAGGTGATAACCTGGAGCTATAAATTTTGACGCAAGGGTTCCTGGGATTATTTGGGCGGGCAAAACTGCGTTCGCAGGAATATTCTTAGCCCCCAGGGCTGTCACTCCGTCCGCATTGTGAGCTATTGCTGGTTTTCAGTGTCACGCAATTCAAAATAGATCAAAATAAAAATCAAAACCGGTCAGTAGATAAAGTCCACAATCTAGGAAATGAAAGAAGGTAAATATACAAAGACTCTGGCCAAAATTCTGGTCACAGCAATTTTTCTTATGCGAGATATGCGGAGGAATTTTTTACCCAAATTTACAGAGATTTGTATGGAGACGCCATGC